TGACATAAGCTCGGGTAATACTTTTAAAAGAAAACATGATTGTCTTCTTGGACAGACAGTTATCAAATTTAGAATCTCAGGCTGTCAGGGGAAACATAGCTACAAGTCTTATGTCATTACTTTGCCAATTTTTCTACTGAAATACCCTTTATACCCCCAAAGAAGTAGGCACAAGTGATCTATAAGGAGAAAATAACTTTGAACTCTTTGATTTTTATCTTAAAAATTCATTTAAAGTCTTCATTTTATTCCACAATGTGATTAATAAAAATATTTTTAATTACTCAACATCAGGAAAAATATGATGCTCTGTAAAGATGTTTGGTGGTTTCCTAAATCCCTTCTTGTTTGAAAAGTACAGAGGTATGTACAAAAATGTTATACTTTTACACATCTAGCCTTTTTTCCTTCTCTCTCCACCTATATTTACCTTTCCCTAAGAATACTGTATAGCCAAGAAGGATGGTCTTTTTTATTTTAAGACTATAAGACATTTCCCTTTTTTATGGTAAGACAAAAGGTAATAACATCCTAGACTTATAATGCAGCTACCATGTGGCAGTATAGAGGGAAGGGCTTAACATTTGTTATTCAATGTAGTTCTCACAAAAGCTCTCAAGGGTAGAAAATATCCCCACTCTCCAGATGAGGCAAGCTGATCTCAGAGAGCCTAATTACTGGGCCCAAGGTTCAGTGGTGGAGGCAAGATATTAACCCAGGTCTGGCTGGCTCAAAAGCCCTGCTGAGTTTACATTCTCTCCCAAACAAGGAAAACTGGTCTGTGACTTTTACATTTCATCCTGGTTCCACAATTACTGAGGGACTTGCTTAAATTAGCCAGACCCCTTAAGGGATCTAAAGTATCCTCAAGTATGAGAGACAGAGAAACAGAGAAAGAAAGACAGAGAAAGAGAGGGAGACAGAGAGAGATCAGGGGAGAGAGAGAGAGAGAGACTGAGATTACAGCTGGGTGCCAAGGGTTTCTGAACCCAACTTCCTCATGGTTGAGCTGGTGTTTGTAAGCCTATAGCTTCTAGTAAACCACTTTCATTTAATTAATTGTGAAACCATTGGAGAATAGCAAGTCATGTTCTTGTTTGGAAAACTTCCATGCTATGTGGCAGGGCTTTTGCTTCAGACTTCATAAAACTGAATGCCCAGCACTGGGATAATAAGTGAGCACATAACACAGGGGAGGTGGTAAAAAACACAATGTTGCATTCAAATTCTGCATTTACTTATTCTCAGAGCAAACTTCTGCTGTGATTGCAGTTAGAATTTTATGTAGGGAGATGTTAGAAACTCCTGAGGTTTTTCTTTTAATTTTTTTATTGTGTCCTGTTATAGCCATACAAAATACATGTAACATGCAAGTTACTTATACAGCATAATAATAAAACAAACACTCATGAGCCCTGATTAAGGAATGAGAACATTAACACTATTTTTTGTTCACTAGTTTAACTAACCCCAGGACCTAGAATGGTGCCAGATATGTAGCAGGTGCTTAATAAATATTTTTAAATTAATGCATAAATCAGTTTGTATCTTCCTTCCTTATATCATTACCCCACAGCCTCCCCTCAGGGATAACCACTGTCCTATATTTGGGGTTTATCACTCCCTGGCATTTTTATGTCTTTTCATATATATATTCCCAAATTACATATTGTTTACTTTTGCTTCTTTTCAAACTCTATGTAATGGAATCATATTGTATGTATGCTATTATGAATTGTCTTTTATGCAACATTAGCTTGTGAGATTCGCCTATTTTTAGATATATTCTGTTCCTTGTCATTGCTGAATTGTACTTTATTGAATGAGTATGATATAATTTATTTATCCTTTCTCCTCTCAGTGGATGTTTATCATTTCTGCTTCTATAAACAAAGCTGGTATGTCCATTTCTGCATATGCTTCCTGGTACAAATGTGCACAAGTTTCTCTAAAATACAAACCTGGGAGAGGGACTGCAGTTGTAATTCTCATTTCCAGTGCTAGAAGATCAATCAGTCCATGAGTCACTGCAATGAGCCCTTTGTTCACACTAGGCCACGGTCAGTGGGAATCCTGTCCAAATCATTTTGCCAGGGAGAGGAGTGAGGAGGTAGGCAGAGACTGGCCTGGTAAGGTCAGGACATATCTCAGGCCTCTAGCCAAAGTGGGTTGTAATTAGGAAAAATTCAAATTCTAAACTTGCCTTCATTATTTCTCCTACTCTTCCACCTCCTTTATAGCTATTTTTGTGTGAGGTGTATTTTATTAAACTCATATCTAATAAATAAAATGATAACTTTCTTCAGTCTTTAAGTATTGATTATAAATTTGATTAATTAGATTCTTTTAAATAATTTGTGTTGTATTTTAAATTTTAGTATGGATGAAAATTTCTATTTTTAAAGGATCTTTCCAAAAAGACCACTTATTTACTTTATGCAGGTTCTCATTTTGTTTATCTAATATTTACTCTTCAATCATATAATAATAATTACTGTCATTACCATCATCATTTCATTCATATATACACATATATACCTTTATACCTTTCAAAATGCATTTCTATCTTTGAGGTACTTTCTCATTTGTAGCAATATGCACTCTACTTTATTATATCATCTACTATGTTATTTTACAGTTCTTTGCTTCCTGTCTTTCTTCTCTACTAAATAGCAAGTTGCTTAGAGGCAAGGATAATATCTTGATCATCACTATATCCCCAGCACTTATCCCTGTACCTGGTCCATAGGGCCAGGTGCTAGGAGTTGAGTTGAATCAACTTATCTAATCTAGACCTTCAGTCTCATAATATGGTTAGCCATTGGTTACAAATCCACACTTTGTAGTCAGACTTACCTCAGATGGTAACCTGGCATTTCCACTTACTATAGGAGTGATCTTGAACAAGTTTACTTAATTTTCCTGAGCATCAGCTTCCTCTCCTACAATATAGGGATGATACAGAACTACCTGGAAGGGTTGTTATAAATATTAAATGAGATGATATATATGAAATAGCTTGGCACATAAAGTGCCTTAATACATGTCCTTTAGATTTTAACTGTATTAGTTACAGAAGTCATAAAATGTAAGAAGAAGATTAAGACACTTTAAAACAAACAAAGAAACAACAGCAAAAACCCTCTGTGTCTTCTCCTTGTTTCATGAATGAGGATGGGGGCACAATTTTTACCCAAGGAAATGACATTTTTAGCCAAAGGAATGACATTTTTAGCTTTTCTCCCATTTTTTTATGGAAAGTGAGCTCTTTTCCTGTGGAACTTGTGGCCCTCCTAGTCTTGGACTGGTGGACAGACTCCTGCTGGCTTTCCAGTTAAGGTAGGAAAGGGAAGGATTATGGGGAGAAGAGATAGGCCGCCATAATCAGCTGCTGGGTTTGCATATGAGCAGAACTTTCTGAGTGCTTTCTGTTGTACTTGGGATGTGAATAAAAGCTAATATTTGTGTCTTAGAGATAAAGTGCTTGTCAAGTGTAGCCTGAGTGAAAGCCTTCTTTGCTCTTGCCCTGCCAGGGCTGCTCACTGAGCATTGAGAGGAGGATAACCTTTCATTCTCTTTTGGGATTCTGATGACTGTGCTGGGTATGATAACCAAAGAGTCATGGGTAGAAAGTGAAGGTGAGTACTGAGAAGACAATAGGATAATGGAAATTGTGTTAGATTTGGAGTTAGAGAGTCCTGGGCTTAGGTCAAATAGTTTTGAGCTTTTCTTCTCTGAGTCTGACTTTCTTCATCTGATATAATAATGAGAAAAAAATGTCTCACAGAATTGTTTTGAGGAGTTGAAATCACCCAACACAGTGAACAGGCTTATTTTCCTTCCTTCTTTGCTTAGTAAGAAAGAAGTATTCATAAAAATGGTGGCTGCATTCCTGTGGATGAGAGAATATGCAGTTGTCACCTATCTGTGGCAGATTTACCCAAGAAGTTAATTACGTTTTGTTTAATGATTAGACATAGGACATAGAAGAGAAAAAAGTTGACCTTTGGGTAGTACGAACCATGTTCCATTTGTTTAAACTTGAATTAATTACCATGGGAGACTAAGAGCTACCTTTCCATTAAGGTTTTAGGATTGGCTTTCTGGCCCTCTCCTTCAGTCCACTTGGAAGAACACAGACACAGATCCTCTTGGAGATAGGCAGTTAAACTAGGTGACCTATGAAGCTCCATCCTAGCCCAAGGAACCTGAGTATTCTAATGGCTAAGTGTTGAGATGGTTGCCTGAAAGGTTTCCAGCATCATTGTGCATCATTTCACAATAAAATCTGGCATAGGGATTCTGCTACTTTATGTTACAGAATGTGGGTGGGGGATTTACATGTGATTTAGATAGACTCCTAAAGAAAGTGAGGGAATGGAAAAAAGACCAAAGAAGACTGGTATGATAATACTAATCATGATCCCTCACTTCTGTATTCATTTCAAGAGCTTTTTATACTTTTGTTTAATTCATACCTCCACTCACACAAGTAGCTCGGTAAGATGGGTGATAATTATTCCTACTTACAGATGAGAGTGAGGCTCAGAGAACTAGAGCAAAGCACATCAAAGTGCTTTGATGCTTAGTCTGGTTTTGCCATAGGTCTCCCTTTGGATAAGGTAAGGTCTTAGGGCTGAGTACATACCGTTTAGTTACTCTGAAATTGTTTCCTGACCACCAACTTAAGTTAAAGACCTTAACCTCAGGTTTCTGCCTTCATCCTTCCCTCATGTAGACATAGCCCATGAGATTGGCTGATTCCAGAGAACTTCTCACATCCTTTCACAGGATTCAAAAGGGCTCTGTCCACATGACAGGAAACCCTACATACATAATCCCTAGGAGAAGTCCAAGGAAAATTCAGCTTCGCCCTGACTCAGTTAAGCAATAAATAATATTTCACACGTGCACTTTACTGCTGAAGACTTCAGACTTCTACCCTCCTGTTTCTGTCAAGTACTGACATGTGTTGCATTGTTCCTCTTGGGTCTTTTCAGTTTGGAGACTACCAAGGACCATGTTCTGCCCATCGACTATTACTTTCCACCCCAGAAGACCTGCCTAATTTGTGGGGATGAAGCTTCTGGCTGTCACTATGGAGCTCTCACTTGTGGAAGCTGCAAAGTCTTCTTTAAAAGAGCCGCTGAAGGTAAAGGGTCTTGGACACTAACTTCTGTTTCCCTTTCTCCTTTATCTTCTAAAAAGAGACACCAGTCTATCAGGAACCAGGATTTTATCATCTCTGAGACAAGGTAACTGGCAGGGCTGGTTCAAAGAACCTAAGAGCCTTAAAAAAAAGTCAGTTTTCATACTTGCTGGTCCCCTGGCTTTGGCAGCCTTGGTAGTATAGGCAATGTAGGCAATGAAGGTGGTCCCAGCTGGTGCTTGGAGCTTGGTGGGTCCTAGGAACGAAAGAAAAATTAATGATTTGAAAAGATTTAATTTCCTCCTTGCTTGTGTTCCATTCTCCTGCCTAGTGAGGGAAAAAATTGTCCTTATTAGAGAGGTTAGAAGTGGAGAAACCCCAACCGAATCCCCAGCCTGTTCTCTGTGGTGAATACAAAACTGTTCCTTCGTGAAGGCTTTCTGGCCTCGGCCCCAGAAAGGAAGTGTTCTCACTGTTCAGCAGACCATCAGTCTATGCACCTGCTCCCTCCTGCTGCTGCATCCTTGGGGCCTCCTTGCATTAATAGCTCCTAGGTAGATAAGGACCCAAAGTGATGAAACATTTTTATTCTCTCCAGAGAGTTGTCCTCAGGCCCTGTCCATTGGTCCAGAACCATAAGCTAAGTTGCATCTTATATTTGGCTAAGTGGGCTCAAACCCTGGCTCCTTAATATTATTTAACTTAAAACAATTAATGTCTGCTTAGCCCCCAGAGGTGCTCAGGCTGCATCTTACAGGGGGAACTCACACTTCCATACCTCCTATATATACTAGTGCCTCCTTCCTTCCCAATATCCCTGGGCTTAAGCCTCCTACCCATCCACTTCATTCCACATCCTGTACTAAGGGCTTTCTTCTCAAAGGGACACTGATGAACAGTTTCTAGACAGAGATGCTCTGCTCTGGGAGCAGACCCAGTTGCTAAACACCACTATTTACTCCTGCCTCCATTTTCCACAAAGGAAGTACGTCCTGCCAAGACCTTTTTCTTCCTTCTCACTGGCCTAGAAGTTTTGAGTTCCAAGTCAGAATCAAAACAGACAGCTTTTCCTTATATAAAGGCTACAATCCCTGAGGACAGTCTTGAAAGTGGCAGGTATATAGGCCACACCTTTCAGCAGGAATATGATGACACCCACCAGAGGACAGCAGAAGCACCATAGAGTTCTTGGCATCTAGAGAAAAGGTAGAAAGTGTGTGCCCTTTAACTGGCCTCCCTATTGATAGCCAATTGGAATGATGATTACCTTTTCACCATTTTAGCCAGATGGCAGGAATACCTATGAAATGGAAAGCTATTTTGTTTTCTTCCAGTCCCCCAGGCAACAAGGAGACAGCTAGCATTTAGTATTAATGAAAATATGCTGCATGTTCCACCCATAGCCTTGAGTGGCGCATTACTACTGCTTACACTGGACAGTATGAAGTCCAGGGCACCAGTGCCTAGGCGTAGGCAGTTTGGAAAGAGACAGAGAGCAGTGTCTTCCTTTCTTAAGAGTACTCACAAAAGAATGGCTGTCAGAAAAGGAAATGAGGAGTAGCTCCAAACACTTCAGATCACCCCGCCTTCTCCAGTGAGAACCTGTCTCTTCCCCATACCCTGTCATCAGGTAGGCCCTATCTATAGAGCAGAGAATGAACCACAGCACCCATCTAGAGCTAATGTGTCAGTAAGCCCAGGCACCACAGTAATAGCAGCCATATTATATGGGAAAAGAGTTCAAGAAAGCAAGCAAAAAGCAAATTCAATAGTCAGATAGATTAGATTGTATTTGATGCTGCCTTTGGGTTTTACAAATCTGGGTCATGATATTGTTGCTTTTGGAAAACAGTGGGAATGATCAACCATATTGCGAAAGGGAAGATTCTTCTGTCATAACTATTCCACATGGGAGCTTTCTGAGGAAGTTAGGGCTGAAGGAAGGAGGCAGGCAGAAGGGCAGCTGGCAGGGCTGCCTGGGAGGAGCTCTGCTATTATGTGGATCTTGGACTATTTGAGAACAAGGAAGCTGGGGGGAGGGGTAATCACTCATATTACTGAGCACTTGGAAATCCAGCAAGGTCTCAAAATTCTTCAGTCCCTAGAATCACTTGTTAGGGAAACTTGGTGATATTTTATTTGAGAAAATGAGACTCTATGAACTCATGGAGCCAAATGCTCTTAACTGCTTGAAATATTAAAATCTCCAGTGGATTCATTGCAAAACTATGGAGCCCATTGGTTCCTTTGGAATGTGAACCCCAGGTTCCAGTCCTGAGCCCTTTGAGGGAAAGGACAATGTGGTTTAAGAAAAAACATGAAACAAAGCAAAAAAATTATTGGTGTGTTCTTTCACCTCCCATCTGTAAAGCTTGGTGGCTGGAGTTTACTGCCATTATTATCTCTATTTGAAGGCAAGGGGCTGTCTTATTACCTGCAGAGAACATTTATTGATTTTTTTTTTTTACAATGCGTCTTTATTGCCCAAATGGCCTTTCTGAAGGTGATTGTGAATCTGCCTTGTTGAAACTTGGAATTCCACCTGTCTTGGAGGGAATGGGAGCACAAATCTTTTCTTCCTCATTTGTCTGTCATTGTCAGTAAGCTCAGATGGAGTATTCAGAGTGTTGATTACCACTTTATTCATGGTTTCAGAAATCTCTGGACTGGGCACAGGTACAAGACTTAAAAGCCTGGCATGTCAGACAGAAATCCATTTCTAGCTTTGATAGTTCATAAACCATGAAGCTTTAATGCTGTCATTGGTGCAAGGCTCAGCACAGAGTCGATTGTATTCTAGCCAGGTTTTCCTGTTGAGGAGGAAGAAGAGAAGAGAGCCCCACATTTTCTCGTTGTCAGTAATGCTGGGAGTTCGGGGTGATGGTGAGGCTAGTCAGGGAAGGATCTGAATATTTTGAGATTAAAAAATAATGGTAATAGGTCAAGGGGGTAAAAACCACTAAAATCTGCTTGATGGAAACTTAGTGAAATAATGTGTTTGTGTATGTGTGTGTGTGTGTAAGCGCATTTGAGTGGATGGTCTGTGGGTTTGAAACAGGCATGTAGAGAATCAGTTAGTGGTGGGTGGGTGAGATGAGTGGGGAGGTAAAAGGGGAAGGCATGTTAGATGCTATCAAAAAGACCAGGAAGTCAAAGGAAGGTGATATCCATGAGCAGGGTAGGGGCTCAGAGGGGGTTTAGTTGTGTGACATTGGATAAGAAATTTTCCCCCTTTGGACCTCAGTTTTCCCTGTCTGTAAAATAAGGGAGTTAAACTAGATACTTTTAAAATGCCTTTTCAGCTTAGACTTTTTGTGACAATTCTACAAGTTCCAAACACCATCACTGTTATTTCAGCAAACACACATGCATTTATACCTGTATGCATGTTTGGTGTTGCCTTCCTAGAAGATGGTGAATCCTAGCTCCCATTCTCTTAAAAAAATCAATCTTCAGAGGGGGATAGAGCCAGCTGAGAGAGTGCACTGTGGATGGGCTGGGTTAAAAGTCAGGACTGAGATTCCCTCTTCTCCCGGCATTATGACCATGGCTGGATAACTTCCTTTCTTTTCCATTTTCTCATCTGGAAAATCAGGATATGAATCCTCATCTCTACCTCATCATGTTTCAAAGAGGGTTAATTAATTCATCATGTGCATTATGTGCTCAAGAATTTACTATTTTTCAGACATTTTCTAGTAAAACATTGGAGATTGTACATCCATTTGTTTTGTACACATGAAGCACTGTTTGGTACACATCATAAAATTGAAACTGTAGTTTACATTCTGAACTCAAAGAATTACACCATCCTCACTGATGTTTACAATATGTCCCAATTTAGTATCCTTGGCAAATTTTATATAAGTATGGCTTTGATTCTTTCTCTTGCCCCAGGTTTTTGTGAGGGAAGAAATGTAAGTGAACCCTCATTGAACTCTTTCTGTCCTTTAAATCTACTCTTTCCCACCTCAACTCATGTGGAATTGAATGTTACTTCTTGTTTGGAGTCTTGCAGAGAGTTTTTGGTGCATATCAGTGTCCCCTTCACTCCCTGACTTTCAGAGGAACATTTCCCAGGGGCAAGTTAACTCTGCTAGGAGGATCTACTTGCAACTTCAACAGAGCCTTAATCAGGTACCTTTGGCCAAGAAGTTGACTGATCCTGATTGCACGAGTCCTAGAGATTTTTTCACAAAGCTCCTATTATCTTTTCTCTGTCTCTGGTTTTCTTAAATAACATAGCCAGACTTTAGATTAGGGGCCAGCAAACTTTTTTCTATAAAGGGCCAGATAGTAAATATTTTAGACTTTGTGGCCTATATGGTCTCTGACTATACTATTCAACTCTGCCTTTGTAGCATGAAAGCAAACCTAGACAAAACTAATGGGTATGACTGTACTACAGTAAAACTTTATGGGCACTGAAATTTATATTTCATTTAATTTTCACATGCTTTTAAATACTATTTTTTTATTTTTTCCAACCATTTAAAATGTAAAAATCATTCTCAGTTCTTGAGCCACACAAAGACAAGCAGCACATTGGATTTGGCTTGTGAATTGTAGTTTGTTGACTCTTGCTCCTGTGCTTACAAATCTGCATAGTAAATTTTGCTCTTTCTGGTCTCCTGGTATCTTAGCAACTCTCTAGATTATCTAATTTTAAACATTCTTCTGAGTTGGCCAGTCAAAGTTTGTTCCCCTTGCTTGCCTAGAATGCCTGGTCTAGTGGCATCTAGGTCTTGAGCATTTTTCACTAAACAGGAGAAAAATAAACAAATCTAGGAATGCTACAAGAGGATACTTTTTTTCTGATGATCTTGTAGATCACTGACCCTTGCAATACCCAGAGGAGAAGTTGAAAATATTCTACACATTTTCTTTTTAGACTTTTGTACTGTAACCATATGGATAACTATAAAATATATATGAATGAGTTTTGATGGACACCACATATACCCCAGATGGTATAGAGGAAGGGCTTTGGGGACTCTCTGGTA